TACCATAACAGAACATTGAAATGGAATATTTTTACTATCAGTTTCAGCTGAGGCCCAAAACAAAAACAAGGTGTGTGTGAGATTGCCAGTCTTGCAAAGGAAGTGGTCAAAAGACAGTTTTGCAACTGTTAACTGACCACTCCCCTCCAGCCTTTAAAAGAAGTCAGAGAGGCCAAGGAAAGGTTGGCAGTCGGAATGTGATCTTTGGAGAGCTGTCAGGGAGTGGAGATGCCTGTCCCGGCCCAGGGGGAGGGGCTGTAGTCAGATACTTTGGAGAGCTTGATATGTGTCACATGGAGTATAGGGGACATCTGTGTGTCCCCCAGTGTCTGATTCATGTCCGGGATCCTAAAAACTCTGAGGGAAGAACAAGGAGAGTCTGCTGATGGGGATGGCCTGCATCCCTCACTCACTCCCTTCTATCCCTTCATGTGCTTTATTTTTCTCCTTAGTGCTTTGGACTAACATAATATATATTTTAAATATTTATCTCATTGTCTGTCTTCCTCAATACTCTGTAAATCCTGTGAGGCAGAGATTCTTATTTGTTTTGCTCTCTGCTACCTCCTAGCACCTAGGACACAATGTGCTTCAGTTGGTGTTCATGGCGTACGTTCATTATCACCAATCGCTCCGCAGCCCTGCATGTTTGCTATTCTTATTCTCATTTTACATGTGGGAAGAGGGGTTAAGAAATTCATCCAGTATCATACACAGCTAAGTGGGAGAGCCAGAATTCAAAGCTAAATCATCTGATTCCAAAGTTCATGCTCGGCCTGTAATGCTTCATCAGCTCAGGTGTCTCCCTAAAATATATTCTCATCCTTTCTCGGGTAGTGGATAGTACCTAATCTAAGATTTTTAGGGAAGTAACATGCCAGTTCTGTACTCTGGTCTCACTCAGTACATACTGAATAATGAACATAACAAATATAAAGATTAATGAGCTGGTTATGTAGCTTTCACTCAATGCCAAGATGTATTAATGTCAGATTATTCAGAATACACTTAATGGGACTTTACTATACAAATGCCTGATTATTTATATAGGGCAATATGTTTTACAGAGTTCTTTCGTATATGTCATTCTGTATTAAAGTGTTGGAAGCTTAAATATCTTTATTGTTCTTGTTAAATATTAGTCGTTGTTTTTTAAAATGTTGCTTTTTTAAATTGTGCAAAATATACATAGCAGAAAATTTACCATCTTAATCCTTTTTAAGTGTACAATTCAGCAGTGTCAAATACATTCAGATTCTTGTGCAACTAGCTGCCAGAACTCTTTTCATCTTGCAAAACAGAAACTCATTACCCATTAAACAGCTCTCCATCCGGGCCCCCAGCCCCTGGCAGCCACCCTTCTACTTTCTAACTTGATGAGTTTAACTATTCTGGGTACCACATGTAAATAGAATTATACAGTATTTGTCTTTTTATGACTGGCTTATTTCACTTAACATAATGTCCTCAAAGTTCATTCACATTGTAGCATGTGTCAGAATTTGCCTCCTTTTTAAGGCTGAATAATATTCCATTTCGTGCATCTACCACATTTGGTTTATCCATTCATCCCACCATGGACACTTCAGTTGTTTCCTCCTATTGGCTACTCTGAGTAACGCTGCTGCAAACATGGGTGGATTAGTTTCCTCAGGCTGCCATAACAAAGTACCACAGACTAAGGGACCTAAACAACAGATATGTATTTTCTCAGTTCTGGAGGCTGGAAGTCCGAGAGGAAGGTGTTGGCAGGGTTGGCTGCTTCTGAGGCCTCTCTCCTTGGCTTGTAGATGGTCATCTTCTCCCTCTGTCTTCACGCATCTTTTCTCTGTGTATGTCTGTGTCCTAATCTCTTCTTATGACACCATTCATGTCGGATGAGAGCCCACCCCAACGATCTCATTTAACCTTAATCACCTCTCTAAAGACTGTGTCTCCAAATACAGACACAGTGTGGAGTACTGGAGGTTAGGGCTTCAGTATGAATTGGGGAGGTAGGGGGCACATGGTGCAGCCCATAACACTGAGTGAACAAATATCTGAGAGTCTCCTTTCAATTCTTTGCAGTACATACCCAGAAATGGGATGCTGGATCATATGGTAATTCTATTTTTAATTTTGTGAGAATCAAAAATATATTGCTTTGTACAGCATATTTTGCCTACTTACTTTTCCTCAAACCTTTCTGGCCATCATTACTCTTCTCAAAGATCTCCCCAGCTCACATCAGGCACCACACACTGCATTTGTTTTCACTGATTTACATGATTATTTTTCAAGCTCCTAGGCACATTTGCCTTAGTTACTCTGGTTTCTACAATGGCGAATTTCTAAAATTTCAGCAGAGATGACCATAGAAAAGGTGCTTAACTGGAAACAAAGTTCAGGTCCTAATGCTGTTCAACTGCGGTGTGACCTTGGGCAAGTCACTGTGCCTCCCTGAACCTCAGCTTCCTAGTCTGTGAAGTAGAGGTGTTGGGCTGACAGATCACAGAGGGACCAGGCAGGGATGATGCAAATGAATAGAACAGGCCAGATGAGGTGCAGAAGAGGGTGGTGGGGAGCCCGGAGAACTGAAGAGGACATGCCCAGTTTAAATGGGCAGCCACAAACTCCTTGCCACTCATAAACGCGGGCTCGGAGTTGCCAGCTCTTCTGGTTTCTCATAAGAAGCGGTGGAAAACTGGGTTTTTGTGGGAATTTCCTATTTCTTAATTTAGCATTAATTCAAACTAAGAAAATCTCTTTGGGCCCAAAACACACTTCTCCCAGCCAGATTGGATCTGTGGGCCAGCAGTTTGCAACCTCTAGGCTGGGCATCCTCCAGGATGAAGGTCCCCTTCCCATGTTCTATGCCACACCAGCACTGGCCCCATGACGTTGTGGATGGTCTCTCACCTCAGGACTTGAAATCTCAGAGCCCAACACTCATGTTGTCAGGTCGACTAGAAATTTTTAATTATACAAAAAGTGAACCAAAAAAAAAAGTCAAAAGTCATGCCACAATTTTGTATTTTCTGACCACCTTGTTTCTTGCTTTGATGTTTAAGTAGAGAATTCGTCTTTCTCATAAGGCTTACCTAGGCAGGATCGTTTTTCCACCCATAGGAATAGTGAGTGGCGTCTTAACAGTTGAAAACCAAAAGCCAATTAAAGTCCATCACTGCATCCTTGGTTTTGATCCAGAAAATAACCTGAGCATCAAGGTTTATTGCCAAACAGTACCTCTCAAAGCAGCATCCCGTGAACTGATGGTTTCTTTAACCCAGGAAATCTGTGATGGTTTACAATATAGAGCAATGCTTGATGGAAAGAGGCCACGTTCACCCTGCTCTTTAAAATCAATTGGAACATTCTCTGTTTCCCATATTGTATCCCCATTTAGATTTTTGAAAAGCAAGAGACCTTTTTTTTTTTACTGTATCCAGAATTTAAAAGAAAATGTATCAAGCCAAAAGTAAAGCGGCTTTAATCCCACGTTCTCAAATATCACCAAATGGAAGGCCAGTGGGAGATTCCTCCATAACCTTTCCTCCCACCACCAGTCTGTATTTTTACTATTTTTTCATTATATCATTTATGATCAGAAAAAATACAAATGCACCTGATCTGTTAAGATCCAAAACATTCTTTTGACAAGTGTTTTTTTTTTAAATATTGAAAAAGTCGGGATTTCTAACTATTTAAGGTGTCTTCAATTAATGGGTAAATATGTCCAGAAATAGAGTTATATGTACTTCGCGGACCAGGGGAGCACAGAGGATTGGAACGTCCTCAGCAGTCTCTCGTCCAGCTGGGAGGCTCAGACAGGAAGCTTGGAGGGTGATTTTAGATGGCAGTTTCCAGAAGGGGTGGCAGCCATGGTAGCGGGGAAGGTGAGGAGGAAGCCCGTCTCCTGCCCGCAGCCCTACGGCCCAGGGAAGGCCACTGCCCACTGCACGGGCTTTGTTTGTTCCATGTGGCCCATGGCCACCCGCTTCGCCCAGCTCTTCTAACACCAATATCACACTCTTCCACCATTGTTTGCGAATATTTTGTTCCTGCAAAACCTTCAGATGGCAGAATGCCACAGGTTAAAACATAACTTTTCAGTGGGGAAAAAATGGTGCATCCCTGAGCCCCTAAATTAATTCCCAATTTAAATCCTATCAAAATGGACCAATTACTTCAATAGTTGACAGTGGTTATCGTATCATGACAAAACAAGGTGGTTTCCCTTCATAAATGACTCTCTAATAGGACCGTCTACCTGCATTCCTTTGGCTTTGTTGTTGTCATTGTTACTAAGGGCGCACCTAGGCTAACCTCACAAAGCACATAATAAAGTGCCCTGTATTTATGTCATTCATTGTTACTCAAAGTATAGGCCTTGATTGGCAGCAGGAACATTACCTGGGAGCTGGTTAGAAATGCGAACTCATAGGCTCCAATGTCAGACCAACCGAATTGGAAACTTGGGCAATGGGGCCAGGAAAATGGATTTTACCAGCCCTCCAGGGGATTCTGATGCACATTTAAGTCTGCCAACCACGGATGTAATTGAACTTTTCTTGCCAAGAAGACAAAGGGGAAAAAAAACAATAGAAAGAAATCATCAATGCTAATGATGCACAAGGTTGTCTTTATAAACTAGCAAAGCATGAATACTGTGTGAGGAGAGCTTAAGCATCAAGAACCAACTATTCGAGGTAAAGGTGACTGGTGGGCCTCTAGATTCACAGCTCTCCACCCTCACAAGGCATGGGACCCACAGATCACCTCTCAGAAATGTAAAGAAGTGTCTCATGCACTGAAATAGACTGAGAAAATACTAGTGAAACCAAATTCTTTAAACTCAAGTGAGAATATCACCCCATAAGACCATATGTCCTTGGAACTCTCAAAAGAATTTTTCATCCCCAAAAGTTTTCCCGCCTCAGCCTCTTCGGCCACGACTTTAGAGGTGTCCTTGGATTTCGCTCTGGAGGCCACATGCTCATTCTTCTTCTTTATTTTTCCAGTAAAGGGTTACCTTCCAGTTCAACATTAACCTTGGAAGAAGGGACCATCTACTTGACTTCTGAGCCCAATGCTCTGGAAATGCAGGACGATAATGCCTCCGTGCTTGATGTCTATTTAGTAAGTAATTTTTAGTTTCTTTTCCTTCCCTTCTGGCTTACAAAGGGACCCAGGCCATGGCTTACACAAGAACGAGTTCTGTATGACCAGGCATGCTTGGGTTTTAAAAGAAACAGTGGCACCCTGTCACTGCTACAAATGGTGTGTCTTCTCACGAGCCACGTTCTCCCACCGTTCATATAGAACATTACACAAAAGAACATGTAAGGTAAGAGCCTAAGCCACTACGTAATAAGCAAACAGATCCCCGATGGATGAGGCAGAGTGGGGCTCCTGGGCGTCATTCCCAACAGCGTCATGTCGTCTTTGACTCGGCTGTATCCGCTCGTGTGTGAGTCTTCATTTTGGGGTTACTGCCTTGATAATTGGTAGCTTAAGAGGCACAGAACCAGGTTGTGGGAAGAACCTAAATTCAGCACCAGAGAATCTTGGCTCAGTCTTTCCGTCCATTGTCACAGCCAGCTGGGCAGAAACCTCTCCAACTGTGTGTCCTTATCTGCCAAAGGAGGCAAATAATGCCCACCTCCCAAGGCTGCGTGGAGGATCGCGAGCGACCACGTGTGTGAACACCCCTTTGTGCCTGTCAGGTTGTCTGTAGAGGCTTAACTGAATTGTTAGATGTGGTCTAGAAAGATACCCTGATGGGCTACACAGTCAAAGAGCAGACTGAGTGTCTTCCCGGCAGGGTACATCTCACGCATTCTCTACATCCTTGTACGCCTGCACCAAATCACATGAAAGAGGTGAAGTGCTGATTTGGAATTTTCTACTTTTTAGTTTGCCAAGTCTGAGCCAATATTCTCCATCACTCTTAGTAGGCAAGCTGGACGTCGGGAATCGGTGCCACTTGATGCATGTCCCAGAGCAGCACATCTCCACACCCCATTTTATGCTTCTCCAGATCCCCCCACCTAGCACTGTGTTCCCTCAAGTGTCCTCTGCAGGACGGCAGTCACCCAGAATGTGATTCCTCAGCCTGAGGCCCTCTCATATCCTCCCACCTCTCCTGGAGTAAAATCCAGAGTCCGCAAGGCCCTAGGACGGTCTGGTCCTCCCACCTCTCTGACCTCGTCCCCTGCCTCTACCCTCCTTGCCAATGCCGTTCCAGCCACACTGGCCTCCTCAGGGTTCCTCCCGCAGACTGGGCACATTCCTGCCCCTGGATCTTTCCATTTGCTGCTCCTGTCTGGTCACTTTTTTTCAGCTGTGCCGTGCTCCCTCACGTCCTTCATGTCTCAGCCCAAACATCTCCTCCTCAGATAGGCTTTCCTTGACCCCCTATGTAAAATAGCAGCACCCTCCCAACCATTGTGAACAGATTTTTATTTTTCAGCCCCTGAATATCCTGGTTGTGGCGCACAGAATTTTTTTCCATTGAGCAATGCTCCTCTCTACACTGCCCTCACTTTTTAAAAAAAGTGAGTTATAGTAGATTGCAAAATCTTTTCAAAAGAGTTGGTTCCTCTCCATAACCAAAAAGATAGGGAATTAAATAGGAAACAAAATTATACTACTTTTTTGGTCCCATGGTAAAGTTTGGTTTCGTCTAGTAGAAATCAGGAAAGCTGAAATGTGAGAGGCCAAGTGAAACCTCATCTTCAGGAGCGCAGAATTCCTCCCACGTATGTCTTTACCAAAGCCGGACCTGCACCCACCAGGGGCATGAGACGCTCCCGAGGGGGATGCAGAATCACAGGTGCTTCAGTGGCCTTGCTGGTGCCGCTTCCTTATCCGCTGTCCCCTGTTCCTTTGGCGGGAAGGGTATCTTAGTCATTTTGATTGTTCCTCCGTGGTCCTATCAGTTTCATTTATAAGAATACTGCTATTTATTTGGTTTCGTTAGTGTCTAACTTGATTGCTTTTTTATGTCTGTATTTGACTTGCCTCAGAAGCCAAAGGGAAAAGCCACGGTATTAATTGTTGGTTGTGTTGAGGGCACCTGAGGACCAATTAGAAATAGAGGAATCATGGGAGGTTAGAATTGAAGGAGATAATGATGGCGTTGAGCCGGCTGGCGTGGTCCGCTTCCAGGCTTCCCAGCATGGCATTTGGCGTGGTTCAGAAGCATTGGAGGACAGGAGAGGAAAGGGAGAGGGTAACAAGACAGACATTTTTCTCACCAAGCTTGGAGAAAAACTGATCTAACCTAATCTTATTTTGTAGCTAATAACAATAAGCTATGAAACACTTTTGAGTATTTCCTACATGCCTGACACTGTCCTAAATACTTTATCTGTATTAACTCGTTTACTTCTCACTGCAACCCCATGAGACTGATGTGGTTACTAGCTCCACTTTACAGATAAGAAAATCGAGGCACGCGGAGATTATGCAGCGTGGCCCCGGTTATGCAGCCGGTCATCCATAAGAGCCGGGATTCAAACCAGTGGAGACTAGCCCAGAACCACACCCTTCATTGCTGAGCTGTGCTGCCTGGATGAGGAATTATGCTGCCTTTGCAATACTCAGATTAAACCCAGAGAGGTTAAATGACTTGTCCAAAATCAGACAAGGTAAGGCAGCATGAAAAATTTAGAGGAAAAAGGATACAGACACAAATTTGGGTTAATAAGCTTTCATTCTTCCTGGAGTCAATACGGAAGGTGAAACTTCAAGAAGAATAGTGGAAAGGAAACAGTTGGGTATTGTGGAAAGAGCGCAGGATTTTGAACAATAACAATAATGACCCAACGGAGCACATAGCGTGAGCCAGGCACTGTCCCAGTCTCTTCTTCCGCCAGCTCTTTCCTGAGGGCAGGTGCTCGCTCTGTCTCCATTCGTACAGATAAGGATGCTGAGGCTTAACTGACCAGTTCTCAGAGCTGGGAAATGGCAGAGCCAAAATCAACCCAGGCTCCTGCCTGAACCCGAAACCATGAAGCACCGGTCACTGTAGTCATTACTGATTATTGTTCCAAGTCTCACATCGTCTTGTTGGAATCATGCTCCTTATGAAGGTGAGAGATGTATTCAACAAGGAAGGAGTGGGGGTTTTTCTGTTGTGAATAGTTTTTGTAAAATTCTGCTTTCATCGTTTTTTCCTTTCTGGATGTTTTTTGATGTTCTACTTCAGCAGTTCTTAAACCTTTTGATCTCAGGACCCCTTTATACTCTTAAAAATTACTGAAGATCCCAAAGAGCTTTCATGTATGTCGGTTTTATCTATCAATATCTCATATTTTAAAAATAAAAAATAGTTTATATTTATTCATTAATTCATTTAAAATAATAACTCTATTATCTTCAATACACTTTTTTTTTGAGGAAGCCTGGCCCTGAGCTGACATCCATGCCCATCTTCCTCTACTTTATATATGATACGCCTGCCACAGCATGGCTTCATGAGTGGTGCATAGGTCCATGCCCGGGATCCAAACTGGCAAACCCTGGGCCACTGAAGTGGAACATGTGAACTTAACCACTGCGCCACTGGGCCTGCCCCATCTTAAATATATTTTTATGAAAATAACTATTTTTCCAGAACAAAAATCAAATTAGTGAGGAGAGTGGCATTATTGTACCTTTTTGAAATCCCTGATGTCTGGCATCATGGAAGAGGCTGGATTCTCGTGCCTGGTTCTGCAATCATCTGTTGTGATGTGGCACGTCATTGTACTCCTCTGTGTACCCACAAGAGGGAATGAGAAGGAAGAGGCAAATAACAGCTTGGTATTATTAGGAAAGACCTGATGGATCCCTGGAAATGGTCCCTCAGACAATTGTTCTAGTACTTTAAATTAGTCCCTTCATCTGTGGCATAACCAAATGGGACAAATTAATTAGAGAGAAATAGGCTCCCAGATTTTGTGCTTATCTCTGCCTCTCATTAATCACTGACCTTGAATTAATCGCTCTTCTGGGGCCTCAGTTTTCTCATCTATAAAATGGATCATTAAAGCACCTCTAAGACCCCTTCCAGCTCTGACCGACTGTGACTCCTTGTAAATTACAAGGAGTTGCAGAAATAAGGCTTTTCCAGAGGAGCGACAGTGTTTCTCCAAATGTCACTGTTTCATCACATATTCTACCATAACCTTTCACAATATTTAAATTTAAATTTTATGGCAATATAGCCAGAAAGTTCTGCACCATTGACTTGTAATTCCAGGCGTGTTTTCATGCTGGAGATTTTTATTTTTGATTTTGCGTGATCTTCCAGATCTGAAAGGATACAGCTCATTGGCCTCCCTTCTCTGTTTTCATTTGCTTCTACCCTGTGAAAGAGGGAATGGAAAAGAAAAGGGCCAGAAGGGAAAACCAATCTTGTCTACACCTTCATCTCTCCTTCCTCTTGGCCTGATTAGAATCCTCTTAATCATAGCCATCCTTATTTGAAGGACAGTGGGGGGCTTCTGTGATGACATTGTGTTCAGTGTTGTAGCCACACACAGTCAGATTTCTCTTGTAACCTTTCTCCTCCTTTAAGATACTGCGTGTCTCTCTTGGCAGTTGCAACCTAATCCCCTGGTGCTATTACTTGTATACTGATGGACAGAACTGTTTATATCCCTTTAAAAATATGATTTAAATCCAAATGATGTATGCACACTAGATAACATATGAAATTTCCTTTTTAAGGATGCACCCACGTTAGGTGCATGTAAATTAGGCCAGTTATCCTGATTTTTCCTGTGATTGGACATGAAATTAAAAGGATAGCTTCCCTTAAAAGGCAGCTAATTGTTCCATCGTCCTTATTAAGCATTTGTTCAGGCTTCCTGCTCCTAGCTATCCTGCGCGGCTTTGAAAAGGCCATTCACCGTCATGCTGTAGAGTTCCAGGCTATCTGATTCATTTGCAAATATTCAAATCAAGGGAGGTGTTTTTGAGGATGATTTTCTCCAATAACCAAAGATGTGCTTTCCATTGAATTTTGAGTTGATGACACAGATTAGGGTATTTAAAAGAATACAACAGAGATGAGCAAGCTCTATTGATTTAAAATGGGCAATCATGCCGTCTTCATAATAGAGCTAGATTCCACTTTTTGAATTGTCCCA